GTCTCGTAGCCATTGTGTTTGTAATATCTGCGGAAAGCTCCGTAAGAGTTGTCGAATTGACAGGCAGCTGAAACAGCGTGTGAAGAGTAAGCCCTTTGATATTGAACGCAGCCTTCCCAGTTGGAGCAGATAGTAAAACGGAGGGGAAGTCCGGGTTTAGATCCAGTCGCTTTGAAAATATTCGCAGCAGAACTTGATATATAGCTCTGATAAGTACACTTTTTCCCACTCCAGCTCCACCTGTTATGAAATGGTATACCGGATCGTTCTCGCGCTTGAAATGCGCCGCAATGTGCATTACGTAATCCCTCTGTTCGCCGTTTAGTGAGCTCAGCATTTCCTCGAACTCTGTGTTGGGAAGTTGGTTTGGCAGTTGAAAATTTTCGACGTATGGGTTTCGCTCGTACATTCCACTGTCGACATGCGCTTCTTCCTGTTCCTGAATAAGGTTGTTATTGTCGATGTGAAATGTGGGTGCAGTGATGTCGGCCTCTTCTTCCACTTCGCGGTATCGAGCGTCGTTCTGTGCTTGCTCCACAGCTGTCTCAAGAACATCATTTGAGAAGTAATGATACTGCTTCCTAATCCGCATAATTTCCTCGCGATGTGTGTTGTAGAGTGCCCCGCAGTCTGCGGCTATGATTTCTTCTTCACTTCTCCACGGATGATATAACATCACTGCCTCGCGATAAAACTGCTCCGGCTCTTTGTGGATATTGTACATTCTATAGCGGATTACTTTCGGCCGGGAACGTTTGCGAATAAATCCCGCGCCATCCATCAGGCATATAAGTTGTCCTTCTGCAGATTCGCCTTGCACCTCATTATTCTCCGTTTCTTCGTCTTCCAATGCAGTGACCTGCGAAGCTAGACGTGATCTAGCTTTACTATAGTTATACCATGCGGCAAAATCGGCAAGTGTAACGCTTTCCATCTGAGTTGGACGCTTTGTGTAATGTTCCAACAGTCCGTGCATGAAGCAGTCGCTAGAAGCAGGATCAAGATTACGGAGCTCATGCTGCGGCTTGACAATTCTCACATGCTCGTCTGGCGGAGAAGTTTGTATGAAGATTACTTGCTCACTACTGCATGACATGGGCAACTGCAAGATGTTGTATGTGGCTTCCTGCGCGGAAATTTCTGTGCTGTTG